TTTGTTGGCTAGGTTTGTGAAATACCTATTAGCCGCTGAACCACCAAATGTTAGTCGATACAATGGGGACTAGCGTACTGGCAAGCGCGTGAACCTCAGGAGAAAAATCTTGGTGTTCATCTTGTGTGATTGGATTTCTCTCGGCGATTGATTGGCTTCATCTTGTGATTGGTTTATTTCTCTACACGACGGTATAATCACCCTACTCACTACTTTACATTCTTGTAAACTAGTTGGTCAAGCTCTTTAATATAGTTAGTCTTTGAGAGCTTATTAGTTTGGTTGGTATGTCTATTTAATTAGTCTTTGAGAGTACACTAGCTTAGTAAGTAGTGACCTAGTTTGTTGTATGTCTAGTGATCATATCAACTAGAATTGTTGGAATAGGTGACTTGCAACCCTTTTAGTGTTAGAGCAAAATTGTATTACACCATTTAGTGTACTAACCAATTGCTCTAGTGAATTTGTAGAGAATTTTTATACACTATTTATCCCTTCTGGTCGTTTAGGACCTTTGAACGCCGCTTTTGCCACCACGTAAACCTAGCTAAGCTTCCTTAGCGCGTCCTACACGGCTACATGCACGCCGTGCAATCAGCTTTGCCCAGGTCGCCGCCGCACTGGTGCAGTACTTATCCGGCCGCATCGGGCGCGTTAAAGCTACTTTACCCGGTGATCGACGCCGCCGCGTGCATTGGCGATAGAGGTGGCCACAGAAGGGAGTGTTGGCAGCGTCAAGCGAGAGGAGCTGGAGCTGCTTTTGCGAGAAGCGTAAGAAGTCAATAGAGTATTCAGATATGGATGGGGGCAAATTCATCAGAACAGGCCCCACCATCTCTAACTTTTTTCCTGAAAGATTACCACCTCTAAATTTCAATTTGCCCATCCACTAAGAATAACCAGGTGTTACGGGTGCCAAAAAAACGCTAAGTGTACTTGTTCTACCTGCATACGTGGAGTGGCTTCATGCTCCTTGTTGACTTCTACCGTTTTATTTGGAGCAAAGTAAATATTGTTCAGTATATAAATAATTCACATTGTTTAGAAAAAAGAATATATTAATATCCCAGCTTCTACATCAACCAATGCATATAGCTATTCTTATTATAAACACAAGCACTACGGTCCACGCAATCTCAAACACAAAGTTTTGATCCAAGGTGAATAAAAGACAAGTTTCCAAACTCAACATCTATAGAGCAATTTGATTACTAAATCTTCAACCATGTCTTGCAAACACCCTCATCGCGATTGTCTCAATATTCCTGCATCTTATCTTTATCATTTGACGATCCTCCTTCTAAAATAGGGACCAGGACCTGGTCCAGTAGGTCCCCCTGAAGATACCCTGCAAATAAGATGGTGCTGCGGTCTTGTCAAAAATTATATCGCTCTGGGTTAACCAAATCGTCCAATAAATTGCACTTGGACCCACAAGAATCTTAGATTTCAGTTTCCTATTTATCCCGTCTAACCAGCCTGTAAACAAATTGTGAACACTAGTTGGAGGTAATAAATTAAAGGAAACATGAACAATTCGCCACACGAATTTAGCAAAATGATAGTCAAAGAATAGATGTTGTATACACTCGCAGAAGAATAGAAACAACACTTTGTATCTCCTTGCCACTGCCGCCTTACTAAATTATCCTTTGTTAAGATTACTCTCTTATACAAGTACCACAAAAAAACTTTGATTTTGAGAGGTAATTTCAGTTTTCAGATAAAAGTGTTATAGGGTGCAGCTTCTGCTGTCAATAAGGCTCTGTACATGAATTTAACATAAAATAATCCATTCTGGTGTAGCCCCCACACAAAGCGATCCCTTTGATTTGTTAATTGTACATTGAGCACCATTGCAACCACGTCGTGCCATGCTTTATAAATTAATCCCTACCAGAGATCTCCTGAAAGCTACATTTAACGGTGCCATGAATAACATCATTCTTATAGAAGCACTTTTTTTCCTAACAATGTTATATAGTGCAGGAAAGATAGATTTTAGTGGACGCGGTCTTATCCACGAGTCCTCTCAAAATTGCACCTGAGACCTGTCACCTAGATCAAACTTGCCTAGTGAGAGAAATTCCCCCTTGACCTTCATGAGGCTAGCCCAAAACTGAGAATCTCCAGGCATGTATTGAACCTGTGTCAAAGTTTTGACCCTTAGAGATTTATTCCTAAGTATTTGTTGCCATACCCCATCTCCATTAATCAGCTTAAAAAGCCATTTGCTTAGGAGACACTTGTTGTGGACATCTAAATTTAAAATTCCCAACCCTCCTTGGTCTTTCGGAGTACAAACTACCTCCCACTTAGTCAACCTATACTTTTTCTTGTTGTCATCATTCTGCTAGAAAAACTATGACCTGAAGTAATTGAGCTTCTTCAGAACCCGTCTAGGTACTTAAAAAAAGGAGAGCATGAACATGGAGAGACTACTCAAAACAGAATTAATCAAAACCAGCCTCCCTCCCACCGACAACATCTTACATCTCCAACAGTTTAGCCTTTTTTTAAATCTTTCTTCGACATGTTTCCAATCCTCATTCATGAGTTTTCTATGGTGCATAGAAATTCCTAGATATTGAAAGGGATATGACCCCATATCACACCCAAAAAATATGTGTATATTCAATTTGTCTAGCTCTGGCTGCTCCGTAGCAAAACATCTCACTTTTATGGAAATTAATCTTGAGTCATGATAACTGTTCAAAAGCACAAAATAAAAGCTTCATGTTTTTGGCCCTCTCTAGATCATTATCCATGAAGATGACAGTGTCATCTGCATACTGAAGGATTGAAAGTCCCTCATCTACCAAATGCAGAACAACCCCTTGGATTTGTCCCGTCTCTTTGGCTCATGAAATAAGGACAGCCAGCATATCAATCACTATATTAAACAAAATCGAAGATAACGGATCCCCTTACCATACTCCATTCCTAGTTTGAAAAAAAATGTCCTATATTATCATTGACCTTTACTGCAACACTCCCTCTAATCATGACTTTTGAAATCCATTCACACTAAGTTGGTGAGAATCCTTTCATCATGAGAACCTGTTGCACAAAAGGCCACTTTAATTTGTCATATGCCTTTGCAAAGTCTAGTTTCAGTATCACCCCATTCTGTTTTTTCCTATGCAATTCATGAATTGTTTCATGTAAGATAACAACTCCTTCCATGATATAGCGACCCGAAATAAAAGCTGTCTGCGAAGGTCCTATCAGATTTTCTGCCACCTTCAAAATTCTATTATTTAGCACCTTCATAAAAATGTTAAAGCTCACATTTAACAAACATATAGGTCTATATTGTTGTATCCAGGCCGCATCAGCAATCTTTGGTAGCAACGTGATTACTCCAAAATTAAGGCTATGAATCGGCAGCCTCCCCGCATGGAATTCATAAAAAAAAGGCTCATTAGATCCGACTTCACAATCTCCCAAAAGAATTGGTAAAATTCAGCAGGAAAACCATCCGGACCAGGTGCCTTGTTATGTTCCATGTCGAAGACTACCGTTTTAACCTCCTCGCTAAATGGAGCCGTCAATACCTTATTCTCCTCCTCCGATACTTGTGGTATATCATACCTCAAAGTCTTGTCCATTGAGAAAGAATTTTGTGTATGAGGACCAAACTGTCCTTTATAGTAATCAGTTATATAATTTTTCAAATTACCATCCCCAACAATAGTTCCTTCTTCCTGCTCTAATTATACAATTTTTGTTTTCCTGTGTCTGCCATTTGCCACCATGTGGAAGTACTTAGTATTATCATCCCCTTGCAATAACTTTGTTGCTTTAGATCGTTGGAGCCAATAAATTTCCTCCTCTCTTAGCAACTTAGTTAATTGCCCTTTGAGATGATGTCTAAGCTCCACTTCTTGAGGTGACAACAAAATTATCTCTGCCTTTCTATCCAACACATCTATCTTAGCCAACAAATTAGATTTACCCCTTCTATTTTGAGAAACCAAATTCCTAGCCCAACCTCTGAGGAAACATCGCACTCTTCTAATTTTGTTTTGCCACTGTTCCATTGGTGATCGACCCTTATTCTCAGATTCCCAAACCCCTTTCACCAGATCAAAAAACCATCTCTTGTTAGCCACGCTAACTTGAATTTAAAATTCCTAGCATTGACATAGTGAGACGGTACGCCACCATCTAGTAATAGGGGTGCATGATCTAAGATCTCCTAGGTCAGCGCCTGGACAGAGACTAGCAGAAATTTTTGCTTCCATTCTGTTGTTACTAAGGTACGGCCTAACTTTTCAAATGTTGGAACCTCCGCATAGTTAGCCCACGTGTATTTCCTTCCCGTCATCTCCAATTCTCTTAAGTTCAAGATTTCAATAATAATGTTAAACAAAAGTGGTCATCTATCGTTGTATCTCGAATTGTTTTTTCCGAAGGGTTTCTGATATTAAAATCTCCCCCTACTAAGAAGGGTAGATTCCCACAGTTAGAACATGTTCATACTAACTCAGATAAAAATTGTTCTTTATATTCATCTTGTGCCGCCCCATAAACAGGCAAAAGTGCCCACCGAAAAGCATCCACTTTATTTTTTAGGATAAACTTGATGTGAAATTCACCATCCTCTTGATTTATTCCTATTAGCATTCCCCCGGACATACCCCGAGGGCATCGCCAATGCCAAACAAAATCAGCCCCCCCCCCAAAAAAAAATTTCTAGACACTGAGTCGAGAAACTATTTTTGTTGGTTTCTGATAAAGCTATAAAAATCAAGTTTACTGTCTACAGCCACATCATGTAAGAACGTATGTTTAGCTAAGTCACGCAGTAATCTGCAATTCTAGAATACACCTTTCATTAGAATAAAATTTTTGTTTTTTTTTCTCAAGGCTGTATTCTTATTGAGGAATTTTAATTTCTTTTTACTCTTTGCCACCTTGATGGGCACATTAACAAGTACACCATCAAGGTCCGCAATATTATCGTCCATCACCTCCTCCCTTAAGGCGCCACAGAGTCAACTAATAGTGGAGGTGTCGGGATCAATCTCATCTTCCTCAAAATCACATTCGTTCTCAAGTTTGTTAACAGATTTAGGTGCTTTCAATCTTTCTGCGTCAACATCTTTGATTAAGGAAATAGACCCAAGAACTAAATTACTATTGCCACCCAAACTAATACCCACTTTCCCTAGGTTTTCCTCAATACGAACATTTGAAAAAGAACAAAAAGAATTAACATCTAGATTACCTTGGGGTTTCTCGAGGTTCTTGATCGTAACTCTTCTTTCTACCCTCTCGAGTGAATCTACATCAACCACGTCTGCATTCCGCTTGCTACGCCTTACTGGAGTGAGCTCTCCGTCAGACAAAACTGCCATCTTCATGACACTCCCCAGTTCACCATACATTTTCTTTTTTATCAATGACCATTAGAACATGGGCAATTTTGCTACTTAATCATCATGTTGTCTATTGTATTATGCAACTACATACTTATTACTGAAATATTCCATCAATTGAGAAATTTGGAACGACCTCCAGAATATTGACAAGTTAGATAAAAACCTTACTCAATCGAGGTGCAGTAAGCATAGCTAAAGTCATGATCAAGGACATTGGCCCTTCTCAGATTCTGTGTACCATCTTATAGAAGGTGTTAACTATGAGAGGTAGAGTTTTTTTTCACCCGTTGTAATGCACGGGCACATTTGCTAGTCCTATAAAATTGCCGTGTTTACTAAAAAAAGCCAGCAAACTCTCACAAAGGCGCAATTCATAGTTCGTCCTCGTCGACCACTTTCCTAGGCTGGTTGTGAACCCGGTGCACCCGCAAGAAAGCGTCGAGGTCCACCTTGACCCCCTGAGACTTGCACGCCCATACAAAAACCAATAGCTTCATAGAACAGGAAAGAGTCAGCTGATGAAACTTGACTCCAAAACTCTTCAGCACCTCCAGCACAAAAAAGGTATCACGAAAAGTCTCAGCCCCGCATAGAAAAACTCCCGAAACACCACAACCTCGTCATCACGCGGTTTAGGTTCGATCTCACCCTTAGGCAACCTCGCGCCACTCCTGGCAAACCACTTCCAGCTAGCAAAGGTGTCTAGGTCTTTCCTTAGTAACCAAAGTAGACCCAAAGTCAAAAGATTCGACCTCCGGATCGGCCGGAGCTCCTGCACCATCGACCAACCGAGCAGTCTACTTCGTTCAAGCCACCGCTATCAACACAAAAGCACTCATTCAGCACCCAACTAAAATAAGTCAAGAATAAACCCCTAAGTATAAACCATAACGACCGAGCATACCTCCGAATAAGAGTTGCTGCTCACTCAAACCCTTGCAAACAAGTTCAAGCCGAGCTACCTTCAACAAACGCGATAAACCCTCGCAATTTGGAAAACCCTCGCAGAAGAGCGCAACACAGCAATAAGCAATGGGAGCAAATGAGCCGGGTAAGCAGCGACTCCTACCAACCACTCATATATATTGGCCCCAGCCCCCACGGGTCTGATGAACCCAGCATGAGCGCACGAACTAAGAAACAACCCCCCCTACCCCACCTCCACGCGAAAACGTGGCCTCATCCACACATTCACACTAAACCCCTCCAAAACAGAACCCTAACGAAGTCCTCAAAAACCACACCCAGACAAATGCCTCGGGCCCATCGCCAGGCCAAAGGCATACTAGGCGTCACTTGGGCCAAGGGCCCCGAGTTCAAGCTTTGCTCACCCGCCTTTGATCATTGTGCGGCCTCGTCCCACCAAGCTGGCCCAAAGCCACGAGGGGCTACCATTTGGGGGACCCCCGGCCTCGACGCGCCACCCCGTCATCGGCTTAGGCTTGGACCCTCTGTGGCCTTCGGCATCACGTCACCTACGAACGCGGATGTGCCCTGTGGCATGGCATGGAACCTCGATGGTGGACACCGGCGAGGCCGCCTCACAAACGCCCCCGACGAAGGTCACTTTGATTTGTTTTTGCAGACTAGGCGTTTCCCACGAGGCCATTGAGTTGGAGGATACCCTCACGGCGCTAGCTCCACGATCGTAAGAAGGAAGACGGAAAATCATGGTCCCCACAAGCGAGCCCCAAACGACGTTAGAGTTGTTGGAATAGAGGTATGAAATGTCCGTAATGCCCACGTATCCCTATAGGGTGGTATGCGGCCCGATCGAGGGTGAATTGTAATTTCATCATGCCTCTGGGTATCCCCTATAAATACCCAATGGGTACTGCAGTAAAAGATGATGAATTAATAGCCATTTACTCCTGAATTTATTGTCATTCCATTCCATCTCACTCCACTTAAACTTTCTCCTTTTCATTTCATGTGGGGCACCCTCGGCCTCCTCCTCGCTATTATGTAGGGTAGGAGGCCAAGCGAAACCCCCACACCGGTTGCGACATCCGAAAATCCACTTAAACCTTTGCCTTTTCATTTCCTGTGGGGCACCCTCGGCCTCCCCGCGCTACTATCTAACGAGGGTAGGAGGCCAAGCGAAACCCCCACATCGGTTGCGACATCCAAAAAAATATGGGATAGAATGCAGGGTCACTGGTATCCATCTCTCCCTAGATTGGAACATGCTTGTGCTTGTTAGCCCCAACCGTTACTGTTTGGTAAAATAGAATATCCCTTCCTCATGTTAAATTCTCGTTAAAGCGTATCTTAGGACAAAGCTCTTTTTTAGGATACAATGATGCGCTGGTAGAGAGGTTTTCTAATGCAGTGATGGTTAGCTCTCGTGCCTATCAAAAAAAAAAAAAGAACAAATCATTAGGAGTGAAGAAAAAGAGCGTCCCAATTGACACGAATTTATAGAGGATTGTTGCTAGAGGTAGTTATAATTTGTAGTAGTGGTATGGACAATACAATTGCTCCTCTCTTTTCCTCTGTTTTTTATTTCTATTTTTTGTTGAAAAAAACCAGTACTGTAGCGAGCAGAATGCCTCCTCGGTGTGTTTAAAATTTAAGCAAAGACGGTGCCTTAGGATCAATAGGAACCATGTAACCTAGTTCTTGCATCTCCCATCATTTTGACATGTACACTGGTATAGGTCAACAATATCAAGAAATAAGTAGGGAATAGAGAAATTTGGTTCGGTTAATCAGAATCAATACAGAAAATTTAAGTTTAACACTATATGAATTCAAGGTTTCCACATTTATTTTAATCGTCGACATGTTCTGCCTCATCATCTCTATTGAGAATGATCCACGAAGATGGGCGAGTACATTATTTTTCCCCTTCTTAATATTTGTTACAGGCCATGTGTTTGTACCTCAGTTTTGTCTGATGCGGCCATCTTTCAGCAACGCTGTAGCCTGTAGTTGGTATTTACATAATTTGTTTTCCTTGTTTTGGCAGTGTTTTGTTACTTATACTAGTTAGAGAAAAAAAGTACTAGACGTCAGACAAATATCCAGGGACCATGCAATCCTTAAAATTAGATCCTGCTACAAGGACGCCACGACTGCAACTTACACTAAAGCGTTTGTACACGTGCAGGTCATGCCTTGGTGAATCCTTTACGCCGACGACACGAGAGCAACCGCGCGTCAAGCGCCGTGTCGCACGCGTCCTCAGTCCGTGCGCTTCTCGACACCGGCCACGATAACGTGGCCAATCCGCAGCTTTGCATATACGGAGTATATATAACAACAAAGTAAATGGGCGTGGCATGCTTGCGAAGCCAATTTGCTCTGCTCTTTCGGAGAAGATAGAGCCACTGCACGAACTAGCTAGAAACCGAGCACAGACCGGAATCACAATGGCGCAGGCGCAGCCAAGGAGACAAGACGATCCGCTCCAGGCGCAGCAGGGCAACAAGGCTGCCGGAGGAGGCGGCCATCAGGTACGGCCACGTGTTCGCCGTCTCAGGAGACCTCGCGGGGCAACCCATGCGGTCCGCGGAGGACAGCGTGGCAGGCGTCCAGGTCCCGCAGGGCGCCGGGGGCGGCTTCAGCGCCGCGACCGCCATGGAGACGGCCGCGGCCTACAACCAGGCCGTCGGCGCCGTGCACCCGGGCCAGGCCAGCGACACCGCGGCCATGCACGGCATCACCGTGACCCAGACCGCCGTGCCGGGCGGACGCATCGTGACGGAGTCCGTGGCGGGCCGAGTCGTGGGGCAGTACTCCGTGGCCGACCCGCCGCCGCCGGTAGAGGAGGACGCGACCAAGATCACGATCGGCGAGGCGCTGGAGGCGACGGCGAGGGCCGGAGGTGGGCGCCCCATCGACCGGGCCGACGCGGAGGCCATCCGCGCCGCGGAGATGAGCGCGCACGGGGCGGACGTTGCCATGCCCGGCGGCCTCGGCGACCAGGCACGGGCCGCGGCGCGCTCAAACGCCCAGGCCACGCGTGACGGCGACAAGATCAAGCTCGGCGACGTCCTCTCAGACGCGACAGCGAAGCTGCCGGGCGACAAGGCGGCGAGGACCGAGGACGCGACGAGGGCGGTGCAAGCCGAGACTTTCAACGACGCCGAAGCGCGCGCCAAGGCTGGCGGGGTGGGCGCGGCGCTCACCACGGCGGCGAGGCTCAACGAAGACAACGACCTAAGCGACACTTAGAATGTTGTTCCACGCCACGTCACGACTCATTGTGTATAATAGGCCCGTTTGGTAGGGCTTATATATGTTAGCATTGGTAATGTATAATGTAAAAGTTTGGCAAAATAAAATTGTGAAGATGTTTTTCCAAGGATCGGGAGTGAAGCCGCTGAAGCAAGCGGAGTATGTATATATGTTAGCATTGGTAATGTATAATTAGCAAGATCCAAGGATCGGGAGTATGCAAGCATGTGTAGTAACAAGTCTCTGGCACTATAGCTACGAGAGCACAATAAAACGTCGTTCCATGCTGTGACTCTGATCGTCCATTCTAGCTTTGATGCATTATTTCAATGCATGGACCAACTGACACTAGCAAAATAGCGTAAACGGAGTCAAGACTCATGAAGTATTCCATCGTTAGCTAATCAATCAATCACAGATCACCATCACATGTTTGGCCACGCTGGGGGCTATTCACGCAGCTCTATTGGAACCGTGAGGGCCTAGGGAAGTCGTCACATTAACGGATTAACCCCATTCAATCATCTTACACTTACTACATACACACACATCTAACAACAGGCTGTGAAACATACATAGAACATTCTGGTCTGCTACATACTGCTAACAGCTCTACAACCATCTGGACATTATCTGTGCTACTATGCACCAGACAAGACAGCATGCTGACGATACATGTACTCGCGTACTACTGGGGGTGAAGTTGCTTCGTCTGCTGCTTTCTCTTGCAGCAGTTCCGGGCAGCATTGAGCTGTTCCATCAGGTCCTGAATTGTGGAAGAGGCCTCCTGCAAATAGACACCAAGGGTTTATAGGCGACATGCACACCATCATGAAGTTAGACGACTCCCATTTGTAACAGAGGAACTGGAGCATATTTTTTGGTTAGCATAGTTCTAACAACTAACCCTGAGCTTCTTCTTCAGGTTTTCCTCTTCTTGGTCGCGGCACTTCCTTTCTTCTGCAAAGAGCTCTACCGTTGCCTCTTGCTCCTTAATTGCAAGCTCGAGTTGCCTCTCCACATCCTCAAACTGAAAACAAAAGATAAAACTTCCTCAGTCTATTAAAGAGCACAAGGAGATCCTCAGACCTCCCAGAAATGCCATCCTTATATCCACAGCGACATTCAATCATTTAAACAAAATACAACCGTGGGAAACTTCCTATGGACAAGTAGGTAGAATCAAGGATGGTGTAAAAGAAATTGGGAAGGTAGAAAACAAATTCTATTGAATATTGAATTTTTGCATGATAATGTTTGCAATTTTTATCTGTTTGTAGCTAACAGAACTTGCATTTCTAGTTAATTGGGCCTGTTTGAGAGAGTTCCCAATGGAACACCCAAGCTGATCCCAAAGTGATTCTATGAAATTAATTAAGATGCCAGGAGCTGAAAAACTAGCTTCTCCAGATTCACTTCCTGCACAAAATCATTTCATCCATAGTGTTTATCCTAGAAAATCACTAGAGAATCATTTTCAGCTACATAATCACTTCCTTAGAGAATCAGAAGCAGGAGTTATACCAAATAGGGCCTTATATAGTAACATCTAACAATAATGTAATGCTACTGCATGATTACTCAAGACAATTGGTAATTCACACAAGATACACGGAAAAAAGAAGAGATTCACTAGTCACTACCATGAGTTCCAACTAGTAGAAGCAAAATACGATAGTGGATCTTCGAATTGCTTACCCTCTCAGTCAGAGACTTATTCTTATCCCGCTCGATTTGTAGTTCCCTTGATAATGATTCCTGCAACATCAAGATTCTACAAAAGAATATAATTAAAATGGCATGTCAAGTCTGGTACAACATGGGCTAAAGTTATCTTTATTAAAATTGTGTTAATCAGATCAGGACCTGCACAGTTATTTTTATGATCAACGATCAGTTCACACAAAATTTTGTTGTTTAGTCAGACCTTTGTACTCTAAAAAAACTTAAATAAATGTAGGCAACATACTTAATTATGATCTGACAAATTATATGAGGAAATATGAAATTTCAGGCAATTTTTGGTTCAGTTTTGACCAATGTTAAGGTTGAATTTAGATCTCTTGGAGAAATTTGGATGGTAAGGAGTTTCGATGGTCACTAATCACTTGCCAATTTGGAACAGGACACAAATAAAATAATCAGGTAGCAGACGGTAAGTTTAGGCATAACAAAATTCCCTCCATTATTTTTCATTTCTTGTCCTTGAATCCATGTCATCAAACTTTCAAAATGATATTTGTCTTTAGAAAGTACAATTATGTTAATAAACATTAGTATAATCCTAAGGGCATCCGGAGTGTAAGAACTTCACCAGCCTTAAGGATGATCTGGCATCCTTGAGGGCAACCTTAAACGTTACAGCGCCCGTCTCAAGCCAAAAGATCCTAGGGACAGGTCTCAAGCTTTAAGCCAGGTCTTAAGAATAAAAAAAATGACAAACAAAACAGACGAAGGCGAGGAACCCCGTGGAGGAGCACTGCCGACATTGTGAGGCTGACGGCCATGCCGCTGCAACCCACGCGCACGGGCGTGGTTTTGATGTCGGAGCGCCCATAGGCCTGGCA